CTCCCCCCCGCCTTAAAGACATGGTACCCGTGAAATTTTCACGTTCTGTGCAAGTTTTTTTGCCACAACTCAGCGTTTTGTAGAGCTCTGTTTCGGAAGAGCCATTCTCACCCGGCATTTTATCATGTGGGAGAGGCTGGATGGGTCTAGTGGAGGGAAAAGGCCTCCAGAGTTTCCTGTAACGACCCGCGCTCTAACGGGAGGTGTGCTGCAACTGTATCATCCTTTCGTCCTGGTCACTTCAACTAGTTCTTGGGACTGTGAGCTCCCTTTGGAAAGGAATTGAGCATTCGGAAAAATGCACGGGTCAGTGATTAAAGCTCCTAATGGTGAAGTTTTCACATTTTTAAAATGGCTTTCAGTATGTATTTGCTTTCATTGTGTGCATGTTGTTGCCTCTGTAACCTGAAAAGCAGATTCATGCCTGGTGTGCAATAACCCAATCTCAACATGCTCAGGAGAGATACTTTATTTATTCAGGCCTGGGTGTTTGGTGGACATTTCCACAAATCAAGAACAGCAACAACAGGTTTTCATACTCTTTTTATACACAAAAATCAGAGGTTAGTACTTTTCCAAACATACCTATTAGATACTGATTTGTTAGTGATTAACATACAATTATAACGTGCCTTACATAATGCTTCTGCTACTATTCATTCTCAAGGGAAGGGTCTTAACCTGGACAGGGGTCTCTTTCACCTGTGGGTGTGTTTTTTACTAATATAATGAAGGTAGTTCAATTTAGGACACTCAAAAGTTAATTTCATTGCCAAGTTAAGTAACCGAATAGTCACTTTGCATATTGTCAAATGACTCATCCTCAACACAATCCCAGATGTTGTTATGGTCCAGGATGGTCTACCTATTTTCTAGGCTTTGGAGATTGAAGCTTGTTCTTCTTCCTTGACCAAGCTTCAAGGCCTCGCAATTGTTCACATATGGTAAATATAGCTACTAGCATAATCATTAACCATGGCTACTAGCAACGTGAAATATACTGTATCACCTTTACAATTTTTTAAAATACAATTTTCTGTATCATAGTTCTCTATAACTTATTTATTCATTGTTACTGCAGTCTAGGATTTTTTTTTTTTTTTTTTTTTTTTTCCCAGGAGGGCCTTTCTGTGTATTTAACAGCAGGCTGTGTAATCTTAAAAAGCTGAATCTGAAACTCATTATTGTCACGTCCATGCACTCTCCCTGTGGAGTGCTAGTAGGGAAATTCCTAGTGAACTTTGTGGAGTCTTTGAGTCTGCTTACGTATCTGGGATAAAAATTGCATCTGGGGTTAATATGGTCTGTGTTTTAGAGGACTAGGTTCTGCATTGCTGCAATTTTTATCAAAATTTATACTTTAGCTAGGCCTTTCAGTGGATAATACAGTATTTTTCAGGCATATGTACATTGTAAACTGTTAGCCTGTGGTTGGCAGTAGAAGATATTTCAGAGTTTCTTTAGAGGGTGTTAACACAGATAGTGTAAAAAGGGACAGTACCTATGCTTACTGCATTCCTGGCTAAGGAATTCAGAAGGTCAAGTTTCATATAACCAAATTCTAAAATTTTGCCACAGAGTAATAGCAAGATCAACTGTAGTGCTGTGTATCTGTTCCTCTGATGGTTAGCGAGGCCTCCTTGCCACAGTGGAAGGAAAGAGTGGTAGGAGAAGTGAAGTCTAACAGCAGTGTCCATCTCTCAGGGCTGAAAGAGCTCTGTTCAATATCCTACCCTGAGTCTTGGTTGTGAGATGTCCTGGATGCGAGCTGTAGTCACTTAATCTGGGGCCCTCTTGTAGTTGTTTTACAAAAGCACATGGAGTTTGGAGAGACAATGTAGAAGCATAGTGTCTATGCTCAAAGATGTCTGCAAGAGGCCCTTGTTAGTTAATACATACTCAATAAGATTGATTTTAATGTCTTCGGGTAATGCTTCTATTAGCGAACCTTGCCAGGTACCATTTCCTGTGAAAAACTTTCAGGAACTTTGGGTATACTTTTACACACAAACAAAAAAAGTTGCTGCAAAATAAATGACATAAATTGTCATGAGAATTGTGTGAGTAGGGAGAACAGCATCTAGCTGAAATTACTTTCACTACTGGAAAATAAATTAAATTTCATAGGAGGGTAGGACTGGAAGTAAAACATTAGATTATGAAATCAAATCTGTTGCAGATAGTTTATAATATAATCCCCCTTCAAAATGTATCTGGTTCCATATAATTAGGTGGTTTGCTCTGAAACAGTCTTCCAATAAACTGTAGTACGTACTCTTCTGAGGATTGGAAGCCTTATTCTAGCTTCCATACAAAATAGTCATTTAGTTCAGGTGAAGAATTTTTATTTAAGGGAAAAAGTAGTTTCAGAAATATTTTTCTACTCTTGATTAATATCATGTATCCTACTTCTTAGTGGCATACGGCACGTCAACTTTGTTTTAGGAAGGTTTGGTTTGTTGGGTTTTTTTAGTTAAGCAAGCAATTTACACTTGTATTTATTTCAATGTAAGTTTATACTTCCTATTTTACCGATCCCTGATTAATCATGGACTAATAACAAAATGCTATCCAACTCATCAGAACAAATAATTATTTTCTCTGTGCTTTTTATTCCATTACACTGTAGCTTTCTGAGGCAAAAGACTGTAGAGCTCTTGTTAAGTGCCTGAAAGCTAGTTGTGAGGAGAGCAGAATATTTTCCATTTGACCAAGAAGGGTATTTTCCATGATTGTGTTAAAGAAACTGGTGTATAAAATACAATTCCTATGCAAGCAGGTATGTTTTAACATTCGTAAGGGTGGTTCTTGTAGCCTGTGGTCAGGTATAGTAGCATTGCACTGGAATTTTAAAATTATGCATTTGAAATTCTTTTAATAAGTTAAACTTTTTTTTTTTTTAACTTCATAGAAGAAGCTGCAATGCTAGAAATTACGGAAGTTGTTTGGTTTGTTTTTTTTTTTTAGTGTGGCTAAGTTAGCAGAGACAGGATTAGAAATTTGCAGAAAGAATATCTCATTCTTACCTGTTTCTTCTGTGAAAAAATTAAGGCTACTGGAAAATTACACATTAAAGGTTTAGGGCACAGATCTCTGTATGCTAACAGTATATGATGTATACCTCTATACATACTGTATATGCTTTATCATCTTTTGTTTGCTGAATACTCTGGTAAGACAAGTCTTGCAGTTGCCTTTCTAATATATGTGTTTTCTTATATATGTTTCTGGAAAGAAAAAAAAATAAATCAGGTTTTGCAGATTTAGCAAGCCTTTGTTTTATTGTTTTCTGTTTCTAGGAGGGTTTGTTACTGAAAACTGAACTACATAGTAAAATTAAAATACTGAGATCAGCAGAATAGCATAGGGTTGATGATTGACCTTTGGGAGCTGATTCATTGAATAAAGAAATGGACAGATGTTACATTTTAATCTTTTATTTCTTTATTTTTCCCTCTTGGATCTTAACAGAATGCTTTCATTTAAAACCTACATCTTAGACATTTCTTAATGGCATTTTTTTGAGGGGGGGGAAGGTCAGTTCTATCATAATTGAAAGTCAGTAAGTATTTTATTTTTTTTTTTTAGCCTTTATGAGTCTGAAATAAAAGGCATTTTCAAGCAATGGGAGCCAAAAATGGTTGTGGTAGTAGTTGTATTAGCATGCTGTAAATGAACTGATCCTTTCCACAATGACAGTGAGTTGCTTTAATTTAATATTTATATGAAAGGGGTGCATTTAATTAAAGCTGTACACTATATACTCTACATTTCAAAGCACCAAACTAACCTTGACTTACTCTTCTAAATGCTCAACAGAGTTAAGTGACAAAAAGGAAACTGAGTCAAGCTGGACTTAAAAGACTTACTGGTTAGTATGTGAAACTTGCCACTGATTTATTAGACAGGCTGTGTTAGTAAAAGACAAACCATGCAGTCTTATGTACATCGATTAAAAGTCAGTTTTTATTGCATGCATTAGTTAGGATGTATTCACACCATGTGATACCAAAGCACCTTAAATTCTTGTTTTCACTTCTTTGCTACTATGTGGCAAGTGACTCTAACCTGCTTATTATGCAAGTAAAGTGACTTACTGTAAACCAATACTTCTCAGTTTTCCCGCGGTTGTACCTCACTTCAAAACACGGACAGTCTTTTGCATGTCTCTGCCTTGAGCTTTCCACCACTTTTACCTAGTTTTGTGGCTTGTCTTCATATTTCTGTTGATGGTGTGTACTGCTCCTATTCTAGAGCTGCTGCTGTGTTGCTTTTTTACCTGCTGTTTTCCAGGAAGCACTAGCTTTTCACTAACTGCTAGTGCTTCCCACTGGGATTGAAATAATGCATCCCAGTGGACATGGCTGACTATCAAAGGCCCTCAAGGGTTCTTTGCATTGTGTTCCCAGAATACTGTGCAAGAAGACTTCAGCTATTTGCACTAAACTGACAGAGTCCAGGTATTATTTATTATCTTAGTCTCTATTCTTGGCCTTAACTGTGGTGAGATGGCTGCTGCTAATGCCTTACTAGTGGCAGCATACCTTGTTGTAAACTGCTGACTTAAACCACCTTTTTGGTGGCAAAGCAAGTATAACTTAATTTGGACAAGCACAAGCTAATAAATACTAATATTTTTTGCCAGTGTGATCTATTTTACACATTGTTGAGCTCTTAATTGACTGTAACTACTTAGTAAAAAATTCTTGCTGTCACTCTGAACAAGTCAAGGAAAGTATCTGTTGAATATAAATCCATGGTCACAAACCACAGAACAGAATAATACATAATTTCTATAGGGTTATGGTATTTTTCAGAAATGGGGCGGTTTCTGGCTACTGTATAAACAGGAATTAGGGGAATTTTTTAGAAGGTTTGAATATTGAAAGCCTGGGAAAACTGATTTGTGAGAAGAAATGAAGAGAATTTTAGTTAGGGTATGAACTGTATGCTTCGCTATTTTATATCTTCTACCATTTAAGGTAACGTACTTACATTTTTTCATGGTCTAAAGATGAGGGGAAATTTTGTGGAACTGAAAGGAACAACAGACATAAAACTACTACATTATTTTTACATTCAGAAATGAATGCTAATATAGAGACTGAAGACTACCTGAAATGGAAGAGTTAGGTTACTAAAATGGGCCACATATTTGAGGCTGAAACTCCCCCAGTCTTAACTTTGGAACTCCACTTTCAGTATGTTAGTGAGTTTCTTTTTTTCTACTAGAAACCTCTAGGCAATTGCAGTATTGTGTTATGCAAATAGCTAGAATAGCCCCATCTGGGTAGATGAGAGGTAGGTACTTAGTAAAAATGTATAGGATTCAGAAGCTAGATGTAGAGGAATACAGCTACTTCTAGATGACCTCAGAGCAGGCTACCACTTTTTCCATACTGAGCTCAATAATACAGGCAGATATCACAAATAGTTGCCTTCAGGGTCAAAGCCTTAGGAGTCAGTGGGCATGATGGCAGTGCCTACTGACATCTTGTACAGCTGCCCGTTTGCTGGGATAGCTGTTGACCTGTGTTCTAGCCCTTACTAAGCCAGCTTTGGAAGGCTTTAGAACCTGTATTTCTAACTCTCCCTCTCTGTCTAGAAATGAGATTGGGTACAATCAGAGACAGAGAATTTTAGCCCTGGGAATCTTAGTAGGAAAGGCAGCTTGGCTCCAAATGGACTTCTTAGGGCACTCACATTGAAATTTGGGCTTCAAGTCCAGATGTCAGGCTTATTGGTAGAAAACATATAAACCAGTCACTGGATAAATGCAGAAGGAAGTTATATACAGAAGAAACAGCCTGGTGATAAAAGCATTTTCCCTGGTTTTATGTTTTGAATTCAAGCTAAACAGGCCTAATATGATTTCTCATGTTTCATGGGGGAAAGTTCAAGGCATTATTGAACTATCATATCATAAGACAGGTTATGTCACAGATTATTTATTTCAAAGATTATATGTATGCTTTTCAGAAGTAGAAAGATGCCCCCAACACTTGGCAATGCTCATTACCCTTCTTGAATTCTGTAACCATGTGATAAGTTCGTGCCTTCTTTGAGGTTTATTACATATCTTTTAGCAGCTTCTTGTTCAACATGGAGATGCTTCTTACTGTCCTTGAGATGCCTGACTTTCTTCAAACACTATGTAGGAAAACACATGCATCTAATCTGGAGGTTTTGAGTTAGCAAAAAGTAGGAATTACTATTGTCTAAAGCAGATGTTCAAGACTTTTTTTATTGGTTTGTTTCCAAGAGTCCAGTTAGACTTAGAGTGAGTTTTCACTGATAAGGAAAACTGTCTGAAATCTGTCAGAAGTTTGCCTATTTACAAATATTTGTATTATAAGATAGAGTCCAGTCAGTGATTGATACCAAGTAGTGAAAAGAGACTACTGGGCTTCATGTCTTTATTGGCGCTTTCATGAGTCTTAAGTGTGAAAGATGGAAGACACTAATGTACATCTGTGGCTGTAGCATGTAAGTTAATATTGCAATACCATTTTCAAGCAATGTCATGGTGAGATTCCCAGTGAAGGACTTTGCAATGTTTTTGTAATAAACTGATGCTTTCTGTTTTATGTACTGCGTTGAACTAATCTGAACAAATAATTTCAAGTAATCCTGAAGAGTTGTTCTTTATCATTATGTACTGTGCGCTGCTTTGTTAGTGTTTCCTCACTGGATTGCTAATGGGTAGTTCCAAGTTCAATCTGATGCGTTGGCATGGGTTAATGGGGCTGAACTATAAAATCTAAAGTAGCCTGTAGAATACAGAACTTACTTTCATCTTTGTTGTAAATCATATATGAAATGGTCACATCAGACATCAGAAATACACGCTCTTAAAGTAAAAGGTGCATATATTTCAAATTAGAATTCACATGTTATTCTGATTTCCCATTTTTCTGCTTTAGGCCAGAACTATGATAGCAGTTGGACTTGGTGTTGCAACTGTCGCATTTGCAGGTAAGCTAAATTACCAGCTGAGTGTGAAACTGTCACTTGTGAGCTGTTGTTTTCAAAACAGTTAATGAAGTTTTTATGACTGTAAATAGTGGAAAGGTTACTTGAGAGTGCTGTAGAGAATTGTGTCCAGTTATAGTTCCTGTCCCTTCAAAATCCTTGATGTATTTTCCAGAATTCTTTTTGAAAAGTCACATCTGGAGAAACTAATTTTATGGGCAGCAGCTATAAGGTTCCATCTGCTTTTTGTCTGTAAAATGTAATATGAAAAGTTTACTTCATTTATTTAATAGCATATTTCAAGGGGGAGACTTTTTAGTACAGAAGTACAACAGGATCTTGTGATGTGAAGGTGATGCTTGACAGATTCAAATAGAGCAAAATAGAAGGTTTTAGTGGCTACAGTAAATTATCATGCTAAACTGTTTCCATAGTACATTGTTTGTTACTTGAACTCTTTGCATCTGGACTGTATGTTCTTCTGAAAAATAGGTTCTAGTGAACACAGGGCATGAGTGTAACATGATTGATACTCTGAGTTGCTTGGACTAGAGAACTGTGATCTATTCTGTATTTGAAATACACAAATCAATTTCCATTGTTTTTAGCATATAAAAGCAACCATCATCAGCAATGTGCAAATGCATAGGTTGCACCAAACTTCAGCAGGTGTTTGGTGGGTACAAGTTGTGTTGCTTTTTTGATTTGGGAAGGAGGGATAAGATCTTTGGTGATGTACACCCATTAAGCAGTTAGTTTATCTGTGTTTCTATAGAAGCAGAAGAGCAATGCTCTTAGATTTTCTTCTGCTGGTTGAGCTGAAGAATTAATGTCATCTAGCAAAGAAGTGGTAACAGAAAGCTTTAAGAAGGTGAGGTAATATATTAGTACATCACAGCATTTCATCAGTGATATTCTAACAGTGATTTTAACTTCTGTGTCAACATAGGCACAGACTTAGATGACTGAAATAACCTGTGGACATCACATGTTTTAAGACTAAAAGCAAGATTCATTTGAATGAAGCAGAGCCACATTTTATAAAAAGTTTTTTTCCATTGTGTGTTGTGTAAATTACATTGCTAATGAACAGTTTAAACAGTAATTGGGGAGGGATGACTTACAGGTAAAATCCTCCAGTAACATGGCACAAATCTTGATTCTGAGGTTGATAGACAGGTTTTGTACTTCTGAGAATGCAGTCTAATAGAGTTCCCTCTAGGCTGTCCTAGCTATAGATGTTCACTGCCAGTGGGAAGTTGAATGCCTGTGAATCCCAGAAGATCCTCTCTTTGTAACAAAATAAAAAATGCAGTACTTACAAAATGTGTGATTAAGCATACAACATCACAGCAAGAAACGTGTAGTACATAGATTTTTTTTTTTTTTTTTTTGGAAGATGTAACTTTTAAAGAGTATTTAATAATTAATGTATATCCAAAGCTAATGTTTCATACTGCCCTTTTTCTTAAAGTTCACAAGGCAGATAACTTCATTTATCATATTGAAAGGCATTTAAATCTATTTGTTTTGTGACCAAACACAATAGATCTTTAGATTTAGAGATTAGGTTTTTAGATGAAATATGCTAAATCCTTCCCTCCTTCCCCCAATAATACAAAGATTAAAAAATGTAAACCATAGCAAGTCTACTGTGGGACTTCGGCTGGTCAGGATCCAAAAATGGCTGTTGAGGGAATATCTTGAAAAGCAGTAAAGTGCAGCAGTTCTGTGCTGCAGATAAATGAGACAAAGATTAACAAGGAAGGACTTTGATTTTTGTTTTTTTTTAATGAGTATTCTTTCTCTCGTTAGCTGATGAACGTAAGCTGGAGACTTTTTTTTCCCTTTTACTGAATGTTGGTTATAATTTCATTTAACTTCAATATTTTTCAGGTCGTTATGCATTCCACCTTTGGAAACCATTAGAGCAGACAATTACAGAGACAGCAAAGAGAGTTTCAGCTTCTGTAAGTTTAGAAGTTACTTTATGCTGAATTTATGATTTTTCACTTTGAGTATTTAGATAGGAGACTTTTAATGTTAAATACAGTGCCACTTAGATTGTTTTATTTCTAGGGTAGGGGTGCTCCTTACTGTGTATGTTCTGGCGTATTACCTGGTATATTTTAAGTCTCTGGGGATGAAGCTATACCAGAAAATGTTTCTGAGTTTGATAAACAGTTCTGATTTTCCTGGTGATGTTTCATGTTCATAACTCATTGTTAGTATGATAAATTGTTGAAGTGCGCTGTGAGAAAATAGCTAATTCCTAGAGATTACAAACTGATGACATGCAATTTCATTTCAAGAAGCTAAAAATGAAAGAATTTAGTAATTTTTCTTTCAGATACAATGTTAAAAATCAGGAAGGCAAATTGATAAACATCTAGGAAATGTCACCATAGAGATGAGGGAGCTTGTTTTCTTTTTCACATTTGAGTTGTCCTTTTTTTCTTCCCCAGCTAATTTGAATTTTTAACCAAGTTTTTGTTCTTTGTTTTGCCCTACATATTTAAAAAATATAATGAGGTAAAAAATCAAGAGGTAGTGTGTTGTGAAAGAAGTATATACAGGGAATGTTTGATAGCATTTACTTGTTGCTTCAGTGGCTGTACTGTCCTCTGGTAAATATGTTCCACTGCAGTTTGATTAAAGTAATTCCCAGTGAGGTAGATGTCTGCTTGTGGCAGTGTATTCTTTAAGCATTCATAGTCTGTGAACATGCATCCACAGTGGAAAGAATACAATTCCCCTCTTGATGCTGATGGGCGAGGGTGTTGAGGGAGGATTTGTTGCAGATTATTATTTCCTGAAAAATATATTAAAGGTCAATTTTTAAAGTGATCATTAGCATCACCTATTAATGTGAGGCCAGTTGCAACACAGACTGTCTACAGTATATCGACAGACACTAGGGTCCAAATTCATTTGTCATCTGTACTTCGTGTCCATTTGCTGATGGTGCAAGCTGCTTGGGGAGAGAAGGGCTTGAAACACGGGCTGTCCTCTTGGGGCTGGTCCACACTTGTTCTTAATTGCGATGTGTATCAGACAGAAACGGTGCTCCTGGATAAGTTTTTGCTCTCTGTCCTTCTATTGCATTGCTGTTGTGAGACCACCACCAATTTTGGTTTTCCTTTTCAAAGTAATTTTTTGAGAAATTCCCAAGTTGCCTGCCAAAACGGCATAGGAGACTTTAGGTACTGCAAATTAAATTGCTTTCACGTGGTATGGACACAGCCTGACTTGCAGGCTTGCTCGAAGTAGCTAGCAATAAGGACATGTGGCTTCAGACTATGGAGTGTTTCAATCTTCACCCTCCCTCCCCAGCAGTTTTACTCCAGCATTTCTTCTTCTATCCATTTGTAGATATAGGCTAGAGAATCTAAATTCAGACATGTTCACATAAGAAAGCAGGCAGTGACTCTTTTTAACACATTGAAATATGACATGCTACTGCGCAGAGAGATGTCTGTTCCTAGGAAACTGTACCCCTCAATACTGGTATTCTGGCTGAGCCAAGCTCATTACAGGCCTATCTCATTTTTATCACAGTGACTTTCAGAGTCCTGCAGAATTCCTGAACAACCATAAAGAGCAAACCACGAGCTTTTGCATTCTCAGTGTTCCTAGTCCCTGGAGCTGCATCCTCTGTCTGCCTCCACATCCTGCCTTACAGCCCAGAATTGTATGTTGATTTCCAGTAGACTGTATCTCTTCTGCTATTCTGTTTCTGAACTGCAAAATACAAGTTTTCAGTGTAAGACAAGATTTGCTGAATATAGTAAAAACTATCTCTTCTGGTTTGCCATTATAACTGTATGTATTTGTCAGCTTTACATTTGTGAGGGTAGTGATAATATTTTTTTCTACAATCATAGTCCAGATTTAAGACTCTTGTATAATTCTTAGCCAAGATTTTTATTGTTTACTACCCTACAGTTATTACTTTCTTGGATTGTATTTTTTCCCCAATTTTTTTCTTTTCCCCTTAACAGTCAATTATTTCCTATTTATAATTTTTCTTTAAAACAATAGAGAAAACTATGTACAAAGATACTATATAAGTGCTTATTGTCCAAATGTCTTATTTTAGTGACTTTACATGATTTTACTAAGCGTAATCTGTGGATTAACACTTCCATCATGTTTCTTTACAGCATATTGCCCTCTAAACTATACTGACAAAGGAAATCAAGCAGTTACTACTTCTGTTTACTAGAAAAGCATGTCATGTGACATATAGTGTCTAGGCTAAGTGTTACTTTGCTGGTTTCCTATAGTGTTTGGAGGTGCCTCATTTGGTCGCTATAATTTTCAGTCTTTACCCTGATTTACTAGAATCAAACCCTGTCCCTCATCACCTCCATTTTTGAGAAACTGTGAAGCAGCTGCCTATTTAAAAGCTAGTTTGTTCTCTATAAGCCCCCACTCTTCCTCCCCCCACTTGCAATTCACCACCATTTTCAATAGAAATCACTGTTCATGTTGGTTGCAGTCACACAAGGTAATCCAGATGCTGTTTATCCTTTCTTCCTGCTCATTTATAAATGACTTGGATAAGGTCAATTTGAGCAATTATAAAGCTATCATTTAAAATGCCTGCTTGCTGTATCTTGAGTATTTGACACTTTCTGTTTACTTACCTAAATAAATAACATGTACAGTCAACAACTGCACTCATCTTTTAGTTGAAAATAGTAAATAAAGGCAAGTAAAAGTGTTTGTGTTTTATTCTGAATTTCTATCTTCCATTTAACTTTCATTTATGGCAGTTAAATACATATTTTGAAATATGAAGCGTAAATGCTGCTGTAATTTAGTCCTGAAGTTTTCTACCATCTTTTTTTTAGTGAAGAAAGGCATACGAGAAAACACTGTCATTTCCCCTCTGTGACAAGTCATAACGCTTATTTCTAGAGAAATGCTTTTTTAGTTTGAGCCTAGTTTTGTCACTGGTGTCATAGATATCAGTGACCCTATTTTATTTCTGTGTGTAGTGACAAGAGGGTGCATAGCACTAAGTAGTCACGTGGCTTTTCTTTCTCACACAGACCTTAATGCTGTTAATTATAATGTTAATATTTCCTTAAAATGTGAAATTGAAAAAAGGAAGTATTTTAATAGCATTCATTAATTTTCTTTGTTGAATCAATAATTTTGAAGGTTGAAAGATAGAAGATATTGAAGATAGAAACAATTTAAGCAAAATGAGCTGTCAAAATATTCAAATTCCACATTCCTAAAAATTATTTGTTCCCGAAGAAAAGGGTGTCTTCTATAGCACTTCCTTAGAGATTTTTGCACTGTGTTTCGCTTATTGGATCCGATTCCACTTAGGCTCATAGAGGTCCGAATTGAGAAGTAAGGGTAGTAACCATCTCTCTCTTGTCCTTCATTGAAAATCAGGTTTCCAGAGAATAATGCAATTTGCACTCCATTTTATAATTTTTTTTTCCTAACTGAAGTTAGGGAAGTTGAAGTTGATCTTAGGCAATTGTAGGTTATACTATAACACAACTTGTAACTATTTTGTTATTGTAGTTTGGTTTTGTTTTTTTTTTCCTGACAGTGTTTGTTACCTTTTCAGTGGATGACTGTATTGGTCGTAGAACAACACATGGAGTTTTCAGAAAAACTTACTACTTTATATAATATAATGGATGGTCTCAGTTATGGAATTTTTAATCTCTTACCTGGCATGGAAACAGTGATTATGCTTTCCCAGTGCTATGCCAGGAAAAATATCTTGAAGATGTCATGGTCGAAATGGATTGGACTTTGGTGTGTGTTGGGGGGTGTGTGTGTGTGTGTGTCCTAGTCTATTAATAGTATTTGTTCAGGGAGAAGAATTTGCTTACATAAGTTGCTAAACAATAACAACATGTGAAGAAATGAAGTAAATTAAATTATAGTCCCTCCTCTCACCCCAAATAGTATGAAGAAATGGAGAGCTCATTTCAATGATTTTTCCAGTACAGAATTTGTTTGCAATAGCCAAGGTTAATAAATAATCAAGTGTCTAGAACTGCCAGCTTATTGGGGAGTTCTCATAACAGAAAAAATACCTTGAGTATTGTTTCAGTTCATTGCAGCTGTTACTTAGAATTTACAACTAGGAAAAAAAATTGCTTTAATTTGAACAGCATGCAAAAGTTGTTTCATTAGGGAACTAGAAATTTGCCAGGATGTTTCCTAAAATGAAGACTTAATGTTTCTTCCCCTCATTTTAACCAATTGTAAAAATGACTTTTATGTCCAATTTCCTTTTGCTTTAAATTCTATTTAGGATCAAGATCTTAGTTTAAGAATTGATTATTCTTGCTATGTACTTCACTTCTGAGAAGAAAATATTTTTTCTTGATGACCAATTCAACAAACTGTTTTTGCTTATATGCCAAGGACAGACACAACAGAATTTCTTTTTTCATTCCTCTTCAAAGTGAACCGAATCGAGGTTTCTCGAGGTTAGAACAGTGTCAAGGAAGTAGGCTTTAAAAACATGAGAAAGGATTTCTGAATTTAAGCCTATAGCCATCACTCCCTATTCTCTTATTTCAAATAGTATTGTAGATGAAATCTACCAAGAACAGAGATGAGCTGTGTTAGAGAGAATTCAAGTACTGCTCTTCTCTACATGAATAGTGAACCAGTGTCTTCCTGTATTAGAGTTGTATGCCAGAGTTGAAGGGCAGAGAAGAATTAACCTTTTCAGAAATCCATCTGCACCAAAGCTGCTGTGGGAGAAGTTCTGGGAAATCTTTCAGAGAACATTAAAGTGTGCTTTTCTCTCCTGGCTGTAGTAATTGTTCAGCATCATTGCAAATTTCTGTGCAGTTCTGCCTCCTCAAGGGTGTTATCTCGTGGCCATTAAATCATTAGCATCGTTTCCTCTCTAAGGACTAGATAAGCCCAGTGTGTTCCCTCAGTGTTACACACTCTAACCTGTTATGTCGGTGTACACTGTTACAGACCTATTTTGTGTTACCCTGTAGCTATAGAAGCAGCTCCTCAACAGATTTTTGTTGTAGGCATGTCACGTCCGCAGTTGTTTCAGCCTTGATACCTGTAGTGTTACAGTGCTGGTTATTTCATATATGGTTTGGGGTGGGAAGAAAGAAGATAAAATTAGTTTCAGATCATAGCAGCACACCAAAAAAATCTTTCCTGTTGCTGTGTGTGACTTCATGGTAGCAATAGGTGAAGTATTTGGGTGAATGTCATTCCTAAGATTAATTAAAGGCTTTGCTTAGATATCATAGACAGAGCCTTTTAAATGCTTTAATGATTTTGAAATTATATAAGAGAGAATTTGTGTAAAAATAAGGCAAAATTCTCACTGAATGCGAATGGATGTATTTAGTGAGAAAAGTGGTTTGTTAAGGGCCAGGCACATTTTTACTTAGGGGTAAAAAGAACACTTAAAAATAATCTCAGCTCTCAGGCCAGACTTCCCTTTAATAGCAACAAAAGAAGCTTATTTTTCACCAGTTGGTAGGTTTTGCATTGAGGAAAAGACTTCAGTCTTGTTGAATGATTTCTGTGTGCTGGTTTCCAAGGCAGACTGTCTTGAAGCTGCATCTGCTGCCTTTGGGACTTGTGCAGCTTAGACTATTATTTGTGTAGCAATGGGCTTGTCCCTAATTCTTATAGAAACATTTACAATGAGGAGATCACTGCTAACTATCAGTAGTGGCTCAGTAATTTATTATTTTAAATTTAAAATACATTTATGGTTGATAAATATACTTTCAACCCATTCTCTATGGCAATCAATTGTTGTAATGATTTACTCTCATCTCGATCTCCTTCTTTTTAATGTTCTTTGCCCACTTGTGTTTTTTTTCCCTTTCTTAAAACAGTGGCTAAAGTCTCACATGCCAGTGAGTTTAAAAAAATTAACCCCAGATCCTGTATTTAGTTGTCATCAGTAGTTGGTGTCTAGGGAATGATATGAAGGCAGAAGTTGGTTAGGATTTCCCCATATACTCTGCTCCTTTCCAGTGTTCTCCAGCACAGTGACTTCTGAAATAGAGGTTATGGCTTTGTGCTAAGCCTTTTTATTGTTGTTTATTTTTCAGTGTTCTGTCGAAGAACTCTTGATGTATATATATATATTTTTTTGAAGTAATATTTGTTCATGTGAAAAAAATATACTGACTCTTCATCAGTGTATTTATCTGTTCTTATCCTTTTGCTGTTGTTTTTACCTACTTTCTTTGTAGAAATATCTGGACTTCAGAGTGATTGTTCATGATTCCTTGGATGCCAAAGTATTGTGACTTTTGTCATTTTCCATTGTGGTGGTACCAAACCTGTTGTAAACAAGTAACTCCCTTTCTCTCCCCTGCTCTCCCAAACACACTCACACTCTGTCACTCTATGCTAGTATGTACTTTGGTTCTGGACTCTTTTGCCTGAAGGCAGGTTTTTAATGGTTGTAGCTATTAATATCTCTTAGTAGCAGTAGAAAACTGTAAAAACAGTTATTTTAAAGTTGTTTTTTGTATGCGTTAACACTAAGGATAAGTCCTTTCCTATTATCTGGTTTGTAGTCATTCCATGCCTTCGAAATAAATTATAGATTAATGTAATGCTCCGAATGAGGTCATATAAATACGATTTAGGTCCTGGCACCTTGTACATGAAAGTAATTATTGCTTGTTTCCCTTTTCTTTTTAGAGTCTTTCATTGTACTATAAAGGAGGATTTGAACAGAAAATGAGTAGGCGAGAAGCTAGTCTTATTTTAGGTATAAGGTAGGTGTGTTGAATTAATGTGGTTTTTGTTTGTTAAGCACTGAATGGAGAAGATGCATGTTGTGAGAATGTGGAATACTCTTGCCAAAATCATAACTTTTTTTCAAAAGACTTCTAATGGCTTATAAACCATTTTAATATTCTGCTTAAGCTAAAAAGCAAACAATAAAATGCTAATAAAACATGCAACTTGTGTTTGGCTTGAAGGCATGATAGCATATTGCAGTGGAGAATTGGTGCTCTAGAAATAATCAGAGTAGCCCATACTGTGCTAATTAGTGAGATCACATGGCCTGATCTCCAAAAAAGCCTTTGAGATAAGTAATATTGTAGATTATATTAATAAATGAGGAAAACAAATCAATTTTGCTCATTTTTTTCATATTAATACTATTTTTTTCTTTCTCCACTGTGATTTGATTTTAAAAGTTGTGACATATTCCAAACAAAAACATTTGGAGAGATTTCTCATTTAGAGTAGGTATGGGAAATAATTTCTAAGCTGAGTGAGTATTCAATGGATTTTTCAGTGGATTTTTTCTAAAGCATTTGGATGGCCAGTGGTAGCACACCCCTTAGTGTTTTCTGTAAAGCTGGTGGTGAATTTGAGGGCTTTCCAAATGATGGGCCTTAGGTAGTAGATTTCTTATTTATGGTTTAGATCAGTTCTGAACTTTAAGGTAAAAAAAAAAAAAAGATAAGGAGAATTGTTTTAACTATCCTCAGTGGTGAAAAGTGGGACTTAAAATCCTGTTCAGTGTACTATTGTATTCTAACATAATGGAAATTATGCAGATTTAGCATTCATTTTAAATGTTTTATTTTACAATTTCTGATTTGAAGTATTTCATGCTTGCACACTGAAGACAGGATTTATAGGAATGCTTTTCAGAAATACTTCCTTTGGCCTTTAAGTTTGGTAATGTATTAACATTTTCACTTCATAAGGACAAATTCAGTGATATTTCAGAGTAGCACATGGCAGCTTATTAAAGCATGTTTACAGTGTCAACACCTAGCTGGAATACTGCTTGTGTGGAATACTGCTTGTGTACATGTCTGAAGCTTCATCACATCTGAAATTAGTGCCCTTTAATTTTTAATTTTAATAGCTTGAGTCTACACTGGGTACAGGGACACTGCTTGTTGTATTTGGACTGAGTCTTGCAAATATCAGGACTTAATCAGATTTGAGGAAAGTTCTTAATATTTAAAGGATTGAGCATTTACTTGTATAGAAGCATGGCTTAACATCTTTATAGGAAATTTAAACAATGTGAAAACACACTTTTCTAGAATAGTTTTAACACACTGTACTGCATTTTATATATATATAAAAATGCCACCAAAAAAAGAAAAAAAGGCAAGTGAGTTTTAAAGTAATGCTGAAAATGCCAGGGTATGCACAAATCTGCAAACTAGATCTGTCTAGACCTTGATGTTGTTACTGTAACACTTGTCCTCTGTGTTATCACTTCCAAGTCAGATTAAATTTTAAGGCAAAGATTTTCTTCATTATTTCAAGTGCTGAGTATGCATGGGCAGTATAATAAATACAAGCCGTGATAAAGGTGAGTATTTAATGGTTGCTTTTAAATTTCAAATATATTGGCCCGTTACACAATGTGAATCTTATTCTCTACTAACCACCTCTTAAGATTGCAGGGGGTTTTGGTAGAAACATGCATGTGCCTTATTTGTATTTAAACTATCCAAAGCTACAAAGTGCTGTATTGGAAATACTGATTAATTTTAAGTTTTAACGTTCTTGCATTAGTTGTTATAAAGTGGTGCTGATTATGGAAATTCAGTATAAACATAGCAGTAATGTGAACAACTATGTAATCTGTAAAAGAAACTGCTGATGGCAAAAATGGACAAACATCCGAGATTAACATGGGAGATGAAAATGTTAGAAGTGTTTTCCAAACATTAGACAAAATAGATGCTAGCAGAATGTAGCTATCCTAAGTATAATGGTTTATAATTATCAGATCCCTAATGTTGAATGTTGAACTTCCAAAGTTAGAAAATACGTCTGAAAATCATGTTAAAATTCTAGATAAAAATTAATAAAACTTTCTGTATTGTACCATTTCCTCTGAAACAAGATGCATATTTTTTTATTCCGTAGGAAATATTTACTTTTTGTTAATGGACAAAATCTATATATATGCAGTAGTTAAAAATTTTTAAATCATTATTCTTAAAATATGACGTAAAAAATAGGCTATGACATTAAAAAAAACATACAGTGTATTGTATAAGTGTACAAACACAAATGTATTTAAGGTTTAATCATTGCAGCTTTGGTTTTGTTTGGATTTTTAAAATTTATTTTCTTTTTAAACACAGCTTACTGCACAGGTATATAATATGATCATAAGACCGCTGATGTTAGGAAGGACCTTGAGATCTCTAGTTGTACCTGCTCGCACTTCCCTTTTCAGTGGTGTCCAGCCCACACCTCCCTTTTCAATATTTTGCCTATTTTTCTCTCAACCTTCCAGCATGCAGGACTGTGGAAAGCCTGGACCCATACTTTTTATGACCTCTCTGTAGATGCTGGGGGGGGCTGCTGTGAGGTCCCCTGGCAGCCCTCTCTCCTCCAAGGTGAACAAGCCCTGCTCCCTCAGCCTCTCCTCAAAGGGGGAATGCTCCAGCCCCCAGACATCGCAGCAGCCTTTGTTGGACCTGCTGTGGTCAGCCCGTGTCTTTCCTGTACAGAGGTCCCAGATCTGGATACAGCAGCTAGATGGGGTTGGCCAACTAGAGGGGAATAGCTGCTTCTGCCAACCTAGTGACCATGCTGCCATTCATAGAGCCCGGGAGGCTGTTGTCCTTCTCTGCTGCCAGGGCATGCTGCTGCCTCTTGTTCTCGCTGTGTCCCGGGTCCCTCTCAGCAGAGCTGTTCCCCAGCCCGTAGCGCTGTGAGGGGCTCTTCCTTCCCAGGCACCAGGCTGTATGTCTTTTCTTGAATTTCATGAAGGGGGGCTGTCAGCCCATTCCTGTCAGCCCTCTGAATGTCAGTCCTGACCTCCAGCCTATCAACTGTTCCACCAAGGCGATAGACCAACAGCCAGTTGGTGCTGTTAGAAGGCATCATGACATTGGTGTGACTCAGATTGTGATGCTGTACCAGTTCAACGAAAATATGATTTTGACATTAAAGGTTTTTCTGATAGCAATTAAGAATCTTTAGAGATCAGTCTGACTGTAGGATGAGCAATATCTCATAAACATAAATACAGTTGCTTCTTGGAGCAGAACTGCATGGTTTTCCATAATGCGCAACTGCAACTTTTCCACAGTTAGGCTTTGGCCATCTGAGTTTCTAAATGTGATGTATCAACTTTCTTTTTTATTATTAAAAAACGTTTTACAAATCAAAATATAGGTGATTGTTATATTTAGCTGTCTGACAACAGATCATTTTTGTATTTATATATTTCAAGACCCTCTGTTTAGCTCTTACTTTCTGGGTTATTTTCTGTTCCATTGAACTATTCTTCTCTTATGCAGTTCTGTGAACTATTTTTTCAACATACCCTAATTTCCCTGTGACAGAATAATAATTAGAGGTTGTTTACCTTTGGAGTGTAGTTAGGCTGATATCTAGCATTCAAACTGTATCTACAAAAAGATTAATTAATTGAATCATCACTGATTAAGAAGTCACCTGAAGTGGAAAACACTGCTTCATTTCTGCATGCTAACAAATTATGAAAAACTAAACCATTTAGACTGTCCTTTTGCATATGATAGCCTTACTGTGTTGGCTTATAGCATCCATAAGTGGTTATTTGTCTCGTAAGGTACATATTTAATTTAGGCCAAGTACATATTTTATGTATGTGTCATTGAGGGAGAAAACATTATGTAGCACTTGTAAATCAGTGTGTCCCTGAATGTAGCGCATTGAACAACTTTGAAAAAATAACAAATACAGGTTTTTCTTTAGGCCTCAGCAGAAAGAAGAATTATTTATGGCAGCTATAAAAATATTTACAGTATAACAAAATGTGATATTATTAAATATTTGTTGTTTTGTCACTGGTTGTATAAATACTTATTTTCTAGAAGGAAAAAATGTGGGTTTGAATATGAATAACCAGCTAGATAATACCCTAGAGCTGCTGGTTTTTTCCTTTTTGTTTTTTTTCAGAAATTGTTTATTTTAAATGTGTTGATGTATTGCATTTTAAAAAAAAACTTGAAAGATATTTGTGTGTATCCAATCCACAGGCTTTTTAAAAATGTCCTTCTCAGTGTGTCTTACATGCCTTTGTTATTGTTATTTCCTCAGAGATGTAGTTTTATGTTTTGTCCACAAGATGGTGAAAATCTCAAGTTTTAATTATTTCTGAAGCCAGTATAAACTGTTAATTTATAGCCTGAGCTCAGTGGCATTTATGGTAAGCACTTCCATTTATTTTTGCAGTCCATCTGCTGGCAAGGCCAAAATCAGAACAGCCCATAGAAGAATCATGATTTTGAATCATCCTGATAAAGGTAAATAATTTTTACTTCTCTTAACCAGAGCTGGAAAGGAAAACGCTTAGATGAGATCCTCTTAAGTTTACTGATTTTGTAAATAACCACACTGAGTGCAAACATATGCTGTTTGTTTATAGATTTTCGCTTCTCTCTGTCTTCTCTCAGATAAACTAGGCTATATGAACCACAGTTTTACCTATCTTTGTTTAATTTTTTTTTTGTAGACTTGTGCTGCTTCAGTTAAAACTATGAGCTCAGGGACCAGTCTTCCACACTTTAAAAAAACAATCAAAAATAAGAGAAAGATTAGCTGTAACATTTTTACCTTAAACTGACATTTTGTTTTGAACTGAGATGGACCAGTCACATGTGTGGAAGTAACTTCTATGGGGAAATGTTCTGCAGTCACTAAATACATCATTGATGAATTTCCAACTTCCTGGAATTCACTTGGAAAAACTGTAGAGCTGGGCACTGCTGCTTTACTGGAAAGGTTTTTAATGTAAATTTATCTTACAGAAAGGCTATTATTATAACTTTAACTACACTACAGCTGGTTGAGAAAGAAAGCCCATATGTTCATTGCTGTTTCTACTTTAAAATAACAGATGGTGAAGAGTTGCACTGTATTTCAGAAGTCAAAAGGGGAAGTTGGAGGGGTTTTATATCTTTTTGACAGAATTACAGGGCTCCCTGCCAGCACCCCATTTTAAGAAATTTAAAACAATAACTGTGACTGCTGGCCATAGGAAGTGTTTAGTCAATGCTTTTCTTTGCTGTCTTTACCCCTCAATTTAATTCTAAAGTGGTCTTTCTTATTTGATTTCTCACTTTGTTCTTTTTATACTTTTTATAATGTATAAGCTGAACAGACAGAAAAGGAATTCTGTTCTGCATTTCTAATATATTATGATGGTCAGAGATCCCTTAACCACTAGAGTACCTATTAGGTCAATTTTTTTTTATATTTAACTTCTAAGTTTATCGTAGCAGTACTTAGAGACGTGAGTCAGAACCATGAATCTCCATGCAGATGTTGAGTAGACCTAAAGAGGCAGTTCCCTTTACAAAGACTGTACATTTTAGCAGCCCACTCTTACAGCTGTAATGCACCTGCAGCTGGGCACAGTGTAGGGTTTGGATGGACATAGTGAGCCCTCCTGTGTGCTATTAAGATGGAGCATTTTCTCAGTAGGCACGCCAGTTGAAGGGATTTGTGCATCTGTGCTACCCCTGAAGCTCTTCTGGCATATCCATAGAAAAAAATCTTGTGTAATGTCTTCAGCTGCAGAGCTACGGCCTGGAGTAATCCTTAACATGTGGCCTCATAGACTTGTTTGCTTATGCATATATCTTGATTTCTTCTGGCTATGAGTAGCACAGATGTGCTCTTAAAAATAATACTCAACATTAGAATTCTTTTAAAATAATATTTTAGCAGATGGAGTTGACAGAATAAAGGGCAATTATTACAGATTTTAAGTTACATATGTTATCTGAGATCCCAAACTCTGAAGAGAGAATTGTTAGAAATAAGTAAATAAGACATATATGAAGTTTGCATAATAACATCCCCAGTGTGTTCTACTAAAATGGTTTCTAATTAACCTTTTCATAGTTCAGTTTTAAAGTGTTTTTATATCCATACATTGTATCTTAATTTATCAGTTACTAATTTTATGAAATAACATTTGCTCACAGAAAAAGAGGAAGAGAGAATCCTTTTGGACTTGCCCTAATTATAAACAAACACTTAGGCAATCATGAGATTGAATTTCCTCTCATTGGAGGGCTACAAAATTAATATGGCACTTAAGGATGTAAATGTAGTGAAAACACTTCCAGCAGATTTGAATTTACTTTAAGATCTTGCACTCTAGACATGTAGAAAATCAATGCACACGTTAAAATCAGTTGGGATACATTGTTTATTTCAGTTTTTAGTCTTTGTTTGATCCTCTTGCCTACTCTTTGAAAAAAGCAATACTCAATGTAGTAAATGCTATTGGCTAAAAAGCCAATTGGTTTAAAAAAAGAAGAATAATCATTTTTCTGTAGCCAATTCCCTACCCTTCCACTGCCCTGCCTCACTTTCCTGTGGTGTGTCTTACCTATAAGGCTGCATTCAAACAAAACCAGAACATGAACAAGAAAACTCCATTACTTTTTCCAGTTGTTTTGTTACACCAGGAAATGACTTTATAATGTTTTGGATTCCTGCAGGAAGGTCCTGAAGAAGTCTTTAAGCAGGCCTTGCCACATGTGTCTACAACTAGTTCTGTGTGTTTCTTCTGTCATGTTTTCTGATGAATTGAACAGAATAGAATGAATGAAATGATGAATGAAAAATTATGATTGAACAGATGCCTTGGAAAAGGTTATTCAGTGCACAATACTGCTGGAATCATATTTTCATGTAAAAAACATAGGTGTATTACAGTAAGTGATAAGTTACTGATACAGACCTTGTAATGTTGTTTTTGGTGACTGTAGGCAGATGGTTGGCACTCAAGGGGAGAGTAAAAAAAAACAAACACAAAAAGCGCGCTGAACTGTAATCAGATTGTTAGATGGAGCGTAAAGCAATGACAGTGTTCAGGACTAGAAGTTAGAAGGCGTACCATGTTTAAATAGCTTTAATGTGACGGTTTCTGGCTGGTAATTCCAGGCATCTAGCACAAGAGAGGCTTAGTGTGTGTGTCTATGTGCATGTCCACACACTTAATGATTCTTTGTCAAAATTACTTATACAATTTTACCTCTTACTTTCTGGGGTAGGTGGAAATAATAGCTATTAGTTTTGGATGAATGTTCAAGACAGCTGACCTTGCATATATTTTCAGCAACATTGCACTGCAAGTCTAAATCACACTGATGTAAAGTGATTTCAGATTTCAGTCTTCTCTCCGAGACAAATTGTTCAGCATTATTCTTCAGTGACTTCAGTTTTGATTACATTTCTCATGTTTCCTTATCAATTAGCTTACTTCATATCAATGTCATGTTTTAAGCAGTTGTATAAAACGATCTATTTAGGAAGGAGGAGCTAATAAAAGTGAGTAATAAGGGGAGCCTGCAAGTGAAGTAGTTTGGTACTTAATACTGATGCATAAATGTTACTTCTTTCCCCTTTTTCTTCTCAGGTGGATCACCTTACTTAGCAACAAAAATAAATGAAGCAAAAGACTTGTTGGAATCCACTGCCAAATGAGAGATTCAGCAGATACATTGTGCAACAGTTGTCATATCTACATGTTCCACACAGTTTCTTAACCTTGCATTGATTGTTCCTATTTATTGTCGTAATTAAAACTTTAAGATTATTTAAAAGCAAACTGAAATCTTTTACAATTATGTAAAGTTGTGTACAGTTATTCTCCTGCGAGGAGCAGGGAGTTGGACTCGATCCTTATGGGTCCCTTCCAACTTGAGATATTCTATAATTTTATGTATCAATTTTACTGTATTTTTACTGAATTATGATCCATTACAAGCTTTGAAAATGTTCTCCTACTGTTTGTGTTTTTCTTCACAAGTAGTTTCTTCTTTCATGAAACTTTTTAAAATTAAAAAAATATTCTTAAATAGAGGGTTTTTTCTTCACTGATGAAGACTTATCAGAAAATCTATGACAGTGTATTATTGAGTCACAGAAAGTATGGCAGACCCTGCAAAGCAAGTTTTCAGCATCATCTTATACTTGAATCTGTTCATTTCTGAAATAGTAGAGTTTATTAATAAGTGCAGTTCTATAGGTGCAACTCAGAACAAAATGACTAACAGGACTACAGACTTCAGTTTCCATTAGCTGTATCTATGGGGCTTGGAGATATGAAGGAAGAGTCTTGGTTATTTCTTTTGCATATTAAAAGATCTCTTAAATTGTCAAATAGTTACTTGGACATGCTTTTACTTCAAGTCACAGAGCACATTTACTCTGTAGGAGCCGAGATGGTGCTGGGATTTTCATAGCAGTGGAGCTGAAGAAGGTAGGCTCATGTGGCATGAGGTTCAGGTGGGTTTTGTAGGCTGCACTTGTCTAGGTGAGTCCAGTCATATCAGCCAGGTGTAGGACTGACATAGGGAACAAACAGGACTGTATCCCTGATAATAGTCACTTTGCTTATGGCTCTTATTAGTCCTCCAGTAATTCTCACATGTCTGCATTATGAGGCATTTCCTGAAGTATCATACACACTTCCTCTTGTGGCACCCTAGCAACCTAGTGCTGTCTTCAGGGAATACTGGAGGCATGGATTTCTGACTTTAAAGTGAACGTGTTTTAATTGACAGCTGAGAGTAGATGCTATTTGGGGTGCTTGGCTGCTGCAAATTCCTACCAGTAAGTTGGCTGCAGATGAATTAACTATCCTAAGAGGATGATGATGAGATGAGACAGTCTAGTGGATTCATTGCAAGACTGAAAAACTTTCTTGTATCCATTCAAACTTGTATCTTTTGAGGTACAGCAAACAACTCGCTGAAGTGCTACAAATACAAAACTTAGATATCTCATTTCCTAGGTTATTTACCCAGAGGAGAGTGGCTAGGAGCAGTTAAATAATTAAAGCATCCAACCTTGTATTATCCACCAGAATGTGCAGTGGTGGATGTCCAGATTATATGGGCTTTTCCTTGAAAGGAAGAAAATATGAATTAATTTTCTTTTTATCAAGTTCCTCACTCTTTGTCACAATTCTCTTACTTTCATTAAAGATAGATAAAAAAAGTTGAAGTTGACCCTGAAAGAAAATAATAACTTTAGGTTAAATTTAGAGACTTCTTGACAATTAAGAGTGGCAGGACATAAGACACATCTTGACAAGATAAAGTCTGCTGGGAAAAACCTGCTGGGGAATGGGCACATGCTATACGAGCACTACACTTCCAGTGTTTAATGCTCTAATACAAGCAACTTTAAAGATAATGGACTTTATTCCTATGCAGTAACTTTAAATTGTTTTTTGTTAAAAGAGTAGCTACCAATTAATGCACATTTAAGGTTAGTTATTCCTTTCACTGGTATATCAGTATGTATTAGCAAAATAAAAAAAAAAACATGAACGTTTTAATTTTGGGAGGAAAGAAGTGAGATGGTGAAGTTGTTCCCAATTTTCTTAAGTGGAATCTCTAAGTGATCTGAATCATTGTTCAAAAGCAAAATTGATGTGTATGGTAGGTAGCAAAAACATTAATGATTTTGAACTGACTAGCTGTTGTTTTCATATAATTGCCTTTTTTTTTTTTACAGAGTAAAATGTGGTATAAAGAACTATGCGAAAGTATCAGTTGAAGCAAGTGCATTAAAGATGGCTACTTGTTCTGTTCTTAAAAATTAACTTCTCATGTCTTAGTTGGAAGTGCAGGTTTTATTTTTTGAGATTGTGTTGTTGCTAGTTTTCTTCCTGATCTAATTATTTATACCCAATTATTTGGGATTAAACACTTTTTTCTGGCTTTCAGTTCTGAGATTGCCCTTCTGAATAAAAAGAAATAAAAACAAGTTCTAGTTCTGCTTTCTCACTCTTTTCGGAGCAGACTGACTAATTAACAAATTTGACAAATAGCAAAATAAAAAATTCAACAAATTAACTTTGTCCAGTTGTGTCTCTGGAAAATGCTGTAAAATGAGTGAAGCTAATGAATTGCAGTTGTGGAAGCATCATTATTGTATGCCTGGTGCCAGGAAATCACACATACAATAGCATAAGTATGTATCTGTGGAAGCAACTAACTTTTCTCATCTGTTTACTGGCAAAGCTTGCTTTACCTAGTAAATGATGTTTGGAAGGATGAAGATAGGGCAGTGAAAGGAAAGATGTAGTCAAGCAAATCATGTAAATACTGCTCAATTTATTGTTGCTGATAGTTAACATTGCAGGCTAAGGAATGTCTGGAGACTGCCTTGCAGAACAGCACCTGGTTTGGTGCTCAGCTGGACTAGGAAAAACAGGATACTACTTTTTTTAATAATACAGCCTGTTAATATAACCTTATAAGTATTTAGCCTCTTGAGACTGTTTTCTTTACTTGTCACATGCCAAAGTTTTTTTGTGTAAGAAAACTGCACAGAGGTTGATTTATTCTGATGCAATTTCCATCCATCCATAATGCCAGCAACAAACTCACTCATTTTTTTGTGTGTGTGTGCTTCAATGTTCAGAAAGTGTTCATCTGTAACTTCTTGGCTCAGGAATTCCCAGGCGGTTTTGTACTTGCATGATAACCAGGCTCAGGTATCCTCTGTAACTTAAGTAGTCAAGCAGGATTCAGTGCACTCATTTGGCATTGCTGTGGGCGATTTCCTGTTTATTTAATGAAGCACAGCTTGCTCATCTGCCTGTTTTTTTGCTCTTAGTCCATGGGAGTTTTCTCTGAAATTTCATTATTTGCCCTTGCAACAGCAGACTTGGGCGCACGTCCACAAAAAGACTTTGTGAAATCTGGTCATCTGTCTGCACAAATGCCGCTTGCAAAACATTTGCTCACTTAAAATGGGACTTGGGTAGAATTAAGACACATAAATACGATGGTACAGTTCACAAAATATTTGCCTGATCTCCTAGGTAATTTTAAAGGTAAAAAATTACTCTCCTACGTGCTTAGATTTCTGATTCTGTAAAACTGCTTCCTTCTTGCCAGGTCTTTGCTCAGTTTAACACTTTTCTCATCCTTAAAATCTACAGAATAGGTAACTGGTGTCTTATATTCCATGAAAAGACTTATCTGGTAACTGTGGCTCTAGGGTGCCTCATCAGCCTTGGTGTGAAGGTTCTTCTCTCTGTCCTGGTACTCAGATGAAGCTGATAGTTAAACTGGGCTGAGGAGGTGATGGCACTTGCCCTGCTTCTTGCTGAAGTTGTGCCTCGCTTCAGAATGGAAGGTTCATAAAGCCTGCCGGATCCCAGGGCTGGAGTACTGAGCTGCAGTCCCCTCTCTGGGTCACTTTAAAACATGAAATGCTGTCAAAGCAACTTGAAGTTCCCCATCAAAGGTACTGCTAACTTCTTCAGGAGCCTCACTTTCCACATGTTGGGCTTTAGGGTCTTTCCTTTAAATCACGCTCTTCTATGGGCGTCTGTCTGTCTGTCCTTGACAAGCAGCATGGTAGACTGGCACTAAATTGCCAGCTACAGTTTCCAGAACCTTTTAGTTGAATACTGATAAAACTAACATTTTCCTAGGGTCATCAGTGGCAGCCGTTGGCATGTAGGTTGCTAAGACACATTTCTGAATTGACATTGTCATTGATGACGGCACCATCTTTTGAACTTTGTCATTTCAATGATTGCTCTCAAGCAACACAGTGTGTGTGTATGTACATGTATATACAATTTTGCATCTGTACTGGGGTACACTTTTAAAATAACATTTTTCTTTAATTTTTTTACTTAATTTTTCAAATCAGATTATTACAATTTGAGAGTGAGAAAAACTTTCCTCTTTGTGGGTATATGCAATTTCTGACTCGCATTCTTTTAAAGACAGAAAAAGCCAAAGTAAATTACAAGTCTTAATTTTATTATTGTTGCATAAATAGGAAACCAAATTAAAAAAAAAAAAATCAAACCAAAACCAAAATACAAACCACCCAAAGATCTCCATTTTATGCTCTTTGGTTTTTTTATACCCAGTTTTGCTTTGGTATGAATACATACAATGTAGTTATGAGTCTTTTAAAGAAATAGTGGCACTGTACTTCTGCCATCATCACACTCTATTTGTGCAAACTATTTTTTTGCAGATCCACATCCCTAACTTCTTTAAAAATTAGAATATAAAACTTTGTGAGGAAAAAAAAAATATGGTAGAGCTTTTCAGGATGTTGCCCAAATAAAGTTTTCTATTTGCAAATGATTAAAATGTCAGCTATTTTTAAAATACGCTTTTGTATTTTACTTTCTCATGTTTTGTAAATTTATTCACTTGCTTGGGGCATTGAGTAGGAGAGAGGGAATTCTAGGTTGTTATTGCATGTCTTACTAACTGGTGGTAATCCCTGAACCATGGGGTGAGAAGCTCATCAAACTTGAATTATCAGCCTAGATAGCAATACACCTACTTCCTTTAATATTAGGAAATCACAAAACTATCCTTATAATGAGAAATATCATTTCAACAACGGTAGCATCATCCAAATAATACTCTCTCAAGTTTTTTCAGGAGTTAGTTGTGGTACACAGAATAATTGATGTACAGTTTCATATGACATTAAGACACCCCTACTGTGCTATTATAGTTTCCTTATTTATATGCTAGCTTGTACAAGGCGAGGTTAATTTGTTGTGGGTTTTGTTGGTTTGGTTTGTTGTTTTTGTTTTGTTTTTTTT